GAAAGGCACTGTAATCATTACTGTTTCAAGCTAGAAACAGTACATTTTACCTCAGCAAACTATTATCTTCATTTGAGTAACCAAATGAACAAATCAGAAATAATGCCATATTTCAGTAAACAGATATTTCAAATTAGTCCTTCATTTCTGACTATCTGGGCAGGGCAACCCAGGCCTTACATATATGGAGATATGGAAAGTATATTTTCCCCCAAATATACACATAAAGCATAAATTATTTAATGATTAGTTATAATATATTGAATTTCAATATAATTACTTTAAAAAAACAAAACAAAACATTTTGTGATGCTGGGAATGGAACCCAGGGCATCACACATGCTAGGCAGGTGCTTTACCTCTGAGCTATAGCCCTAGCACCAACATAACTTTTTTTTTTTAACTAGTTCAAGTCCCCCTGGCAATTTAATATTTAGAAATGCATATTAAATAAGCATCTAAAAATCTAATGTTTATATATTATAGAGTGTCTTGAAGATTATTATTTTTAAATGCCTTTTTATTTAAATGTGGTGCTGAGGATCGAATCCAGTGACTCACACATGTGAGGCAAGTGCTCTACTGCTTAGTCACAGCACCAGCCATTGAAGATTATTTTTAAAACTTTGTTAAAAGATTTGTGTTTAACTTAACAACATAAGCTGAAGAATTTATACTGCTTAAAAACAATAGTTTAAAAAGTCCTCAACACAAATATAAAATATGTTAATTCTAGAACCAGGTCATTTAAGGTTTCAAGAGCAAGGTATTTCAGTGAAGCACATTAATTAATGGGTTACAAATCCAAACACTAGGTTTCTCAGTGCCTGATAATTCTAAGTACCAAAGGGTTATTTAAAGACTGGACTACAAATAATAATAAAGTGAATTTATTTAATTTCACACTCAGTATTCATTTTTTTTTTGCATAAAAAAGGCATAAAGAGGTTCAAAAGGGAGACAAATATTTTACAAGTTGTGTCGATTCTATAACATAGGATTAAGATGTATCAACCTCAGAAATAGAAAATTCTAAAATGGGAGAAAATTAACATGTGAATCATTTTCAAACTTAACAGATTTTTCTCAGATATTATGACTGATAATTCCATATACTTTAGTAGATATTTGTTTTAATCCTCTTTGGAAGAATATGCTCATGAAAATGACTAAATACACAGACCATTTTCACATAAATATGAACTCATGACAAAGGGGGAAAAAGGCATTTGTTTTTAGGGGACGGTCAACACATTCACTAATTGCCATTTCCATAAAACACAAAATTTTAGTAATGTAAAAAAGAGAAGCAGAAAACAGCCTTTATTATTAGATTATAAAGAGGGTAAAATATTAGAAGTGGCTTGGTTTTATAAATTTTTAAGTTGTAAAGATAGAAGGAGAGGGATTACCTTTGCCAGAAATATCCAGAATATCAAGAATATTTACCTGACAAAAATCACACAAATAAAGAATACTTAATAAACTGTTCCATTTCTTGCACCAGGCCCAGGCAGGCCTACAGAACAGTTTATTGACATTGTGACATCACCTGGAATTTTTAAAAAATGTTTACTATCCTTTTAATATTAAAAAAAAAAAAACTTGGAAAATAGTACCTTGAAAAAGTTTTCTTTTTTGTACGGTTCCTTTGGAAATTAATACTCCTGACTGGTGGGATGGACAAGGTCAGTATGAAAATGATGTGTTAAGAGAATTTTTAATATTTAGACCTCTGTCAGAAAAAAGGAATAGTTTAGAAAAGGTGGATGGAACAGAAGTTGAAATGTAAGTAAAATGCCTTTTCTGGTGTAACTTCTGTGAAACATCTTACAAATTCTTTTTTTTTTTTTTTTTAAGAGAGAGAGAGAATTTTTTAATATTTATTTTTTAGTTTTCGGCAGACACAACATCTTTATTTTATTTTTATGTAGTGCTGAGGATCGAACCCAGTGCCCCGTGCATGCCAGGCAAGTGCGTGGTTACTGCTTGAGCCACATCCCCAACCCCATACAAATTCTTTAAGTCAGACTTAAAACCTCATGTATGTGTTATGTTCCTTTTTCACTTTTTTAAAACTATTTATATTTTCAACAAATATTTGTGTATCTTTCCTCTTCAAGCACTATGATTACATATGCACATACAAAATGCATACATAAGTGTGTGTGTGTGTATATATATATAAAATTAATAAATATATAATAAACGAGTTATAGGTTTCATCATTTGATACAAATGAAATAAAAATTAACAGTAAAAATCACAAAAATTGGTGGATGAAAAATGATAAATAATTCTCTCAAATTCATTTAGAAACTAAACAGTATTCTAAAGACATTTGCAAAGTAAAAGCAATGTAAGAAACTTCCTTGAGTTAACACTAAAATTACAAACTATTTAGTAATAATGTATAGATCATGTATTAAAATATGAGATACTCTTAGCATGGTACTCAAATAAAAATGGGCATGCTAAAATGTATTTATCAGAAGAAAGGGGCATTTATCAAATATTATTTCTATTATTTTTTAATTATACAAATATTGAAAAAGAAAGCATAAGAAAACAAGACAATAGTAAAATAATAAAAGAACACACTAAAAGCAGTATTAAAGCCATTTTGTGTTTTTTAAATGAAGTAGTAAAAAAGGCAAAAGTCCTTAATAGAAATAAAAAGTGGGAAAACATACAGATATAAAGAATAAAACTACATATTTTATAATTTTTCTAAATGTTTCTAAATAGTACCCATGAGTAGACAGAAGTGAACAAAATTCCTCCTGTTTTATATGAGAGTTCAATATATACTTATCAAGTTTAGAAAACAATGAACAGTTCATTGTAAGACTACAACATACAAATACAAAAAGTATGTGATATTGGCCCACAAAATTCTAAATTATAAACTCTTCCACCAAGTAGAACAAAGTGTTTACATATATTCGGTCTAAGGTAATAAAATGCTGGCTCAAAATATGATCCTTGAGTCACAACCAAAAATATAACCCCCACACCTGCTCAAAAAAAGACTCAGGTCTAACTTCTTGAAATTAAAAAAAAAGAAAGAAATTAAAACTTAAGTTAATGATTCAACAATTAGATTAACTACAGGCAATTAACAAAACGAATTTAAGGAAACTAGAATGCAACCTAGAGAAAAAGAATAATGATAAACACAAAAGACAGTTAATATGAAAAAGAAAATCTCATTGAGGTCTTAGAGGAAGGTAATATGAAAGGGTGATAAGAGCACATTTTAAAGCCAATCTGAAAATACATTTTATTTCTTAAAAGACTGACAATTGCAGACTTAGAAAGTCCAGTTAATGCCAAAAAGGGAAAAAAGAAAAAGCACACCCCAAACTATTCATAAACACAATACTATACTCTTAGTACAACTCCGGTAAAGCACCAAAAATAGAGGAGTTGTTTAAGTAGCCAGTGGATAAAAAAAATATCACAGAACGTTAAAACTGATAGCTGATGTGTCATCAGCAAAAATGAAAGTCAGATCAACATGGGAACATACATTTCATGTTAAGTGAAAGTGCCTGACTCCAATCATTTTTTATATAATGAAAGTATTTTCAAGAATTAGGGTGAAATCACTTATTTTTAGGTACTGGGAATTGAATTTAGGGACATTCTACCACTGAGCTACACTCTCAACCCTTTTTAGTTTGAGACAGCATTCCATTAAATTGCCAAGACTGGTCTTGAACTTAACAGTCATGCCTCTTCAGCCTCCCACAATGCTGGGATTACAGGAGTATGCCACCACTAGCAGCGAAAATATTTTCATATTAAAAACTGAAGTGTTATATAGGCTATAAACACTAAAGGAAAATCTCCACAAGGTGATATTATTTCATATGAAAAGTTCAAAAATGCAAAAATAAAACAGGCAAGAATGGTAAATAAATGAATAAATTAAGCAGTGACTAAATAAAACAAGTCTAATTTGTGAAAACAGGCTACAAGTAATACATTAGGCAAAAACAGTAGTTAATAATGGGATGATCCGTCAATAGTAATGGCCTTCTAGACTCCATTTGTTGGTGAAGAAGATCAATATTCTTTACACTTAAGATTTTGTTAAGTATGGAAACTAAACTAGTGGATAAAAGCTTCTAAATAAGAATAAGAGTAAGAACAATAGGATACAAAAAAAAACAAGATATAAATAAGAGCACATGAAAAAATGACACAAATATAAGATCGAAAAGACAAATATTATAGAACCTTATTTTTTTTATAAAATAGTCTTTTAAATGCTGCATGAAATGGTAAATTTAAGGATGAAGAAAGATTGAAACAAAAATGTTCTACTTGAAAAGTAGGAAAAGATATGCCAGACAAAGAATAACCAAAAGAGAATCAGCAAAGTTATATTGATATTAAAAGTATTTAATTTCAAGTCTAAAACCGCTGGCTTAAAGATTAGAGAGCAATGGCACAATAAAGGTAAAGTTTTGGCACAATAAAGGTTCAGTTCTGAAGAAAGATATAAATGTCAACATTTATGTACCTTAACAAAGCAGCTGTAAATCACAATAAGCAAACTTAACTACTAAAAGAAATAAACAAAGCCACTATCATAGCTGGAGACTTGAACATACCTCTCACAGAAGATAATACTCAGACCACAAAAATCTAAGTATATAGAAAATTATAACCAAACACACACATACACAAACATAATCTAACAAACAGAAAATACTATATACAATTCTAAGAGAAACATTCTTTTCTCATATCAGACATTAAAAAAATAAAATAAAAATCGAGGCTTCTGTTTTCAAATTTAATTATGTGGGTAACATTCTCTAGTCAAATCAGAATTTATGAAGATTATCTTCCCACAAAGATATAGCAGAAAACTTCAAAATTATTATTCAAAGAAATTCAGGAAAAAGAAAAAAAGAGAAAATTAAAAATGGCATGAATTGGATGATTGCGAAAATTTAGAGGAAGAAATTATAATCTTAAGTGTTTATTTGGGAAAACAAATACTGAGAGTTATTATCTGATAAAAATGAGAATTTACAAAAGTAGTATTCTCCACCCAAAGTTACAAGCGAGGAAATGATCCAGAAACCACAAGTCAATGAAACATAACATTCTATGCTGGACTATAAAAACCAATCTTTCAATGTAATAAAATGAACAAGCATCTGAAGAGTAACCAAGGAAAGTATTAGATAACACACAAAGGGGTATCAGGAATGTAACATTAGGCCATTCTTAAAGGTTAAATGAGCTCATCACTGTAGCTCCTCCAGTTCACATCATGGGTCCTTAGCACAACACAGGAACTCAACAAACATTTGGGTTAATGAAAAACAATATCTTCCTACATTTATCCACCTGCGTAAATAGTCTCCCCCTTGAATTAAGCTCAGCATGTTTGCTTCATGTGGATTTTGGCAAAAAACTCAAGACCCTGGCCATCTACACCATCTAGTTCACACCTGTCCCAGCACCTATCATGTTATTAGCCTTTGAAAATCTGTAGTTCTTTCTATCAGCTTGTGAAGATGAACAAACAGGTAACTGAGATAGCCAGGACTTTTAATTGACAGACTTCAGAGGCTGACCCACCTAGGTCACGGTCAGAAATCAGGCTGTACTCAAGCATTCATAATCCAATCTGCTGGGGAAGATGGAGAGAGGGTTAGACCAGATGGGTCTGGCATAGGGATGATGTACCAAGCTTCACCATAACATCTCTTTCCTTCTTCCCACTTCCAATCCCATCAATGTGTAGCAGAGCTCAAATGCAATAAAAGGCACACCAGGGGTTCACCTTCCTTCCACACCTGCAGTTCAGGGACACCAAAGTCTGAGATGAGCTGTTGACCTGTTCTAGGATCCTGCCCAGACTGCTTTCAGCCAGGCAGGCAGAGCAAGTTCATGTCTACAGCAGATAGAGGGCTACTGGCCTTGGAGAAGTATGGTATGGAAAGTTCCCAGCTCCTCTACTGCCTTCCCATTTGTTCCAATTCTCATTCACTTTGGAGGACATACCAATCTCTCCCATGATGTCCCCAGTGTTTACCCTCTGTCCAGGGGTTGGGACAACTGCTGGGGCTTACCCTTAAGCAGTTACATGTGGAAGGGTAGCTCCTGTAGTAGCTCTGCTCTCAGCCTCTGCCTCAGGGACCAGCTGCTTACCCTGAAGGGTATACAGGAGCTGAAGGAAGGTCTGGTGCCTGGAAGGAAGTATGTGTAAGGGGAGAGAATCTCAGCTGGATTACATCGATTTTCAGCCAATGTTCCCATCTCACCTCTGCAGTTTATCCTGTTCCCATTCTGCCTGCTTTTTCAAGGTTCCAAGTTCCTGATGTAGCTGTTCAAGCTTCTGCTGAATTCCCTTCTGACGTTCCTTCAGCCCTGCAGAGACTTCTGCCAGACTCTGCAGATGTTTCTCCTATTGGAAATGAGGGTGTAGACAAAGCTCATCCAATGTGGAAGTCTTGGTGCCATCTCTCCAATCCCACCAGCCTAGAACTAGTTCACTGATGGAAACAGAGACCTAGTCACTTCCAATTAGAAACAGGAACCTAGAGAAAAGGAAGGACTCACCTGTTGTAGTTTCCGCTGCTTCTGGGTGGCTTTGAATTTCTCCATTACTGCTTGCTTCTGCAGATAAGCAAGAGAGATGCAAAGAAAATATTTTTTCAGATAGGGTTTTTGGAGATAGCAATCAGGTTTAGTTTACTCATTCTTTTCCTCTTCATCTCTTCCTTCCCTTCCCTCCCTCAAGTTTCCTCATAGCACCTTGGCTTGGAGCTGCTCAAAGGCCTCCTGGAGCTGAACACGCTTCCTTTGGACCTCCTCCATCTGGGGCAGGGCCTGGGTCATGATGCTTGTTATGGTGTCTACATGCTCTTGATAGGTAGCCTTCAGCTCTTTCCACTGTTCTTTGGCTTCAGTTGCCTTCTGTCCTGAGATGAGCCACCAAGAATGAAGGTATGAGTGAAGTTGGCCTGCAGCCTCCCTCCCTGAAATAGTGGGCCTCAGTCTTCTCTATAGTCAGTTAGCTGACCTAATCCACTTCCTCTCTCCTTGCCCCTCAGGCCAGCCCCTACCCAAATCCTGAATCCCTTGACTACTCACGGCTCAAGTCTTCAGAAGCCAAGGGGCCCAGGTCCTGGGCAATGTCCTCCTGAGCCAAGAAATTCTGTAGGAAGTGTACTACCTGAAGTTGGCTGCAGAGCAGCTTGTCTTTCTTTCGGGAATTCTGTTCAGAAGAAGGGTAGAGGCAGGGAACAGTCATACCTACTTGCAACACAGGCCAACAAAACTGCCTTCCACTTCAGTCTTCATCAATGCTGCCCAGCATCTCAAGAGAAAGCTCTAGAATCAGACCCTGCCTTCTGAAAAGTTGGCTCCCATCAGTGTACATACGCTCAAAAACTCAGCCAGAATCTGAGCTGGCAGCTCCGCCTCTTCCTGTAAGCCTATAGGTTCCACAATGTCTGCCACTTCAGCCAGGACCCTGAAGGCAAGGAGGCAAGGAAATGGGTGTTTGCAGTTTTCTGGGCTGCCAGCTCTACAGTTCACATACACAGGTAGAGGAGCTATCAATGCTGAGTCTCACCCTGACCAACATCAACACAAAGACCTGAAGAGTCAATAGCCTAAGACCACTCCTGGGGTGTGTGTGTGTGTGTGTGTGTGTGTGTGTGTGTGTGTGTGTAGAACATAGGGTGGTAATTAAGTGCGTGAAGCAAATCTACAGAGCAAAGGGGATAAAGGAATATGGGAAGAGGGCTGAAATTTTAATGAAAAGTCTCACTAAGAAACTGAGTCAAGAGCTGGGGATGTGGCTAAAGCGATAGCGCGCTCACCTGTCATGCGCAGGGCGCTTGTGTCCACCTAAAGCTAAAAAATAAATATTTTAAAAAAAGGAAAAAGAAATTGAGTCAAGATGTGAAAGCAGCCAGGGAGAAAGGCAGGGAAAGTTAAGAATATGGGCAGAGCTCTGATGGCCCTTGGAAGCCCTCCTAGCAGGGAGCACTAGTCTTAGGACAGGGTATGAGAATACCTGAGGAAGGACTAAAGACATAGGGCAGGGCATCTTGGTCTTGGGTCTCAGGTTTTTCCTGGCTAGGGACTGAAGGAGGCCACCAGGGAGCAGAGACTGGGAAAATATCCCATAGGAAAAAGGTTATTTAGGGAGAGTAGACTGTCTAGGCTGTCTCAAGAGAGTGGAAATTCAGTTAGAATGGCTAATAGGAGTGAAGGGATGTGGAGGACGGGGATGGAACTGTCCTCCTTCTAAGGCACACCTCTGGGGAGAGGGCGAGGCAGGGTGATGATGGATGGCTTTAGTCCCTCAGAAGCCGCACTCCTGGAGCCTGCCAAGAGGCACTTCAGGAAACTGAGACTGGGAACTGGGATCAGGATCAATTCGTAGAGGAGTCGAACTCCAACAGCTGTTCGGAATCCTAAGAACCAAACTCTGTAGATGGGGGCCTGCAGATTTTCCTCCACCCGGCTCCCAGAGGCGAAATGCTAGCGAATACTTACTCTAAAACGGCAGCTTCCGCCTGCGTCTCTACCGCCTCCATGACGGGGCCGCGCCGCACCACGCTGCGCCCAGTTTCTTCGGTTTTGGATTCACCGCGGACTGCGCGCCAGAGCAGGCGATTGAAGGCTGAATCCGTGGGCGGAAATTAAGAACACAGCGCGCTCTAATTGGCTGGTGCGAATTCGCGCCGCGCGGTTGACGCAGGCGTAGTTGTGGCCAGGCCGCGGAGAGCGCGCAGGGTTTATGCGCCTGCGCAAGAGGTCATGGGCGGTGGAGGGCGGAGTGCGGGTGAGTTTGTTTTGCAGGTCGGGCTTTTTGGAAAGCGGAAAAGCCTTGTCTTCACTTTCGGTTTCAGGAAAAATAAAATTCACGCTTTATTTTTAAAATGTACGATTTCAGTAGAAAGAAAGCAATGGGGCTGTGTTCCAAGACGCGGAAGACTTTTGATCAGGGAGCAAGTGATATAGACTCAGAGAGCTTACTGCTTTCAAAGCCTTTTGAAAGATGCAGTGCAAGCAGAGCCCAGAGGATCATCTGTTGACATAAAGCTGAAATTCCGGAAGGTAGTGTTGCCTGCAGAGTATGGAAGATGGAACTGCTCAGAGAGAGAAATTGAATTCTGCAGTTTTCTTGAATATTCAACTGAGTGTTGAGCAGAATGTCTAAGGAAACTTACTGAAAGTTGTTTTTTTTTGTTGTTGTTGTTGTTTTTAAGATACTGGAGCTTACACAAGGTCAGAAATAGTAGTTGTTTTAAGTAATTGTAATCGGGCTGGAAAAACACAGTGTTTGGGGCATTGGATAGAATACACAGAGGAGTCTTACTCTAGTAGTGGCAATAATTAAGCCTGGACTGATCATTGCCTTAGTGCCTCTTAACTTAAAAGCAAAACCCATTAAATATTCATAAATAAACAAAAAGCTCCACCAACCAATAAATACAATGTGCTATGGCATTCAATTAAAATTACCAAGCTTACTTAAAAGAAAGCTCACATTGAGGAGCAAAGTTAGTTGTTGATCACTATTGAAATAGTAGAATCAACAAAGACAATAAAGTGAAACTATGGACTATATGTTCAAAAAGTTAAGTAGAGCTATATTTAAAAGTAACAAGTGATGATAACGATTCAGAGATAGAGGAAGTTTAATGGAGATTGGGGGAATGAAAAATGGGTACATCTGCTTTGGAAAACAATCTAGCAGATCCTCCAAGTGTTACATGTACAATTACCATAGGAGTCATAATTGCACTGCTAGATACGTATTCAAAACAAATGAAAACACACGCACACAAAAGCTTGTACATAAATATCCATGGTAGCATTATTCACAAGGGTCAAAAAGTAGAATCAGTTGGGTGAATGACTGTAATCACAACAGCTGGGGAGGCTGAGACAGGAGGATCAAAGCCATCCTCAACAAAAGCGAGGTGCTAAGCAACTCAGTGAGATCCTGTCTCTAAAACACAAAATAGGGCTGGGGTTGTGGCTCAGTGGTTGAGTGCTTCTGATTTCAATCCCTGGTACCTCCCCCTACAAAAATGTATTCTACTGTCATGTATGAACTAAATGGGACAAATAAAAAATAGATAATGGACTGTACAAATAAAAATAACAGTAATGTGATTTTAACACATTGGAAAATAAAATGGAGCAAAAGCTAGTAAGTTGCAAAGCTAAATCTAAAACAAATATGTCTGACACCAAAGGCTGCATTACTGAATGTTCCAACTAGAGTGAAATCTGAGGTGGTGGTGATTGTTGTTTTTAATAATAAAACTCAGCCTTTGTTCAAGGCCTGTTTTTTCTTGAATAATGAACAACTTACTCTTGACCTGGTACTCAATATATGTTTTTAAAATTGATTTGAAGTGGCTTAATGTTACATTTTGTTACTGTCCTACCTACATGCAATAGTAGTGTTTTACCCCAAAATGTCTTATATTTTGTTTATAAAATCTTAAATACTTTATTGAAAATTTCACACATTAGAGCAGTTGAGAGAGGGCATATCTCAGTGTAAACATTTTTTTTTAAATACTTTTCAGTCACCCCAGTCACCAACATTTTTAGAATTTTACATCTACAATTATATTTTCTATGTATGTTTTATATGGAAGATGAGAGATTTGGGGAATGCATTTAAGGTGATGAAAACCCAATCTTAGCTATGAAAAGCATATTTCATCAGAGAAAAGGAGTTGCCCCTAAAGATGCTTCTAGTCAAATTTCTTACAGCACAGTTCATGGAAATGTAAATATCATGATTTTGGAATAAGATTTAAATTTAGTCTTATTTTAACTAGCTGGTCCCTTTGTGATTTTTTATCAAGAATTTAATCTTATAATTTATTAAGTAAGAATAGTAATGATGTGATAATATTTCTTGAGGAAAACCATAAAAATAATATTGAAAAATTCTCAACCTATGATTGACACAAAGTGAATGTTAGACATTTTAATTTATGTTTCCAAGAGCCCCTTTTGAGTCATATTTAAATAAATGCCAGAATATGAATAACGTCAGAAGCGAATTGGGAATAATCTGTTATATAAGAATTAAGGAAATGCTTAATGTATAAAACATGCATCAGACTAATTCCAATAAGCTTATCTCTTCCATTTACATTAATGTTTAGTATGTTTTATAATCTATACCTTTTACAGTTTCTGATCATTCATTTTTCAGTGTCAACTTGCAGTAGACTTATGATTCTAATTTGGGGCTTTACTAAAAGAACAATTAAGAAATACCATTCCAGATGCTTAACATTTAGCACAGAAAGCCATAACTGCTCTTGCATGAACTATGATGCAGAGAGTCTGTGTTAGTAGGATGTTAGCTACAGCTGTGCTTTGCTGGAATTTTCAGATCCAGATATTGTATTTCATTTCAGGAAGAATCTTCATGTTTAGCATCTAAATTGCAGATCATAAGGCAATTCTTGCCTTGGCTTGCTAGTTCCAGATGGATAGATTGTGACTTACACACTGTTCAATTCCCTATTTAGTCTGTCATCCCTCTAACAATGCTCAGCATCCATGCAATTTGGACACGGACCATCTGAACTAAATTGCAAAGCCCTCATGAGAAAGGATGTCTCACTAGGAGAAAATGCCCATGAAAGCCTATTGAATCTTTTCTAATCACAGCCAAAACCTCTAGTTTCTTACTCTTTGTTTTCTGACAGTAATGAACCAAAACACCATGATGAAAGTTTTGACACCATAGGGATTATTTTTAAGTCTTAAACTTATTTTTATGTGTCTTCTACTTGTAATCATGTTTAGGTTGTTCCCATTGCTTCAGTCTAATTCTCAAGGAATATAATTTCGCCTTACCAGTACAAATCTTCCCTTTTCAAGAAGAGTAATATGTTACTCTTAGTGGTTCAAGGTAAGCAATAAGTTGATTTGGATTTCCCATTCAATAGTCATCAATATGTACCCAGAGAGAGCAAGCATTTCATACATACATAAAATGATTGACTCAGAAAGAAAAAGAATGAGGATGTAATATGCTGATTTTGCCCCATACTATTTATATCCCTCTGGTGTATAATACGGCAGTATTACTATAGAGATCACCCTTTGAAATGTTTAAAGATGATTATGAAAAAAAGAAAGTCCTAAATCCTCAGGTGAGTTTGTATTTCTATTATATAATGTGCATTAAAAATAAGTTATTTATTAACCCTTTTATCTCTAAATACCTATGTTTGAAACCAATATGATTTGGACAGTTATTTTAGTTTTCCCAGTGAGTAACTTTTTGAAAACATGGTGATTACAGCATTTGCTTTCATTGTTACATTGTCAAGATGTACAGTACTATTGTAAAAATGGTGATATTTAAAGAGGTTTTATGGTAGTTCTTTGCTTAGTTTATTTTTTACATTTTAGTACTATTATTATCTTCTCAAACAGTCTCCTATTTCTCAGATTCATCTTAAAGTTATGGTTCAAGTGATCCTCCTGCCTCAGCCCCCTCAGTGCTAAGACTAAAGGCAAACACCACCTGCACCCAGATCTTGCAATTTAAAATATATAGATGTGAATTTTTATTAAGAGATATAAAGATACTTACTTTCCATATTAAAATTTTAAATCAAATAAATTGACATCAAAAATCCTCCACTAATTAAAATTCTTTCAAGTTATAGCATTATTTTAATTGCATTATTCTGGTTTTCTCGTGAGATTAAGCATCTTTCCTTAGTTCTATTAATGGTTTGTGTTTTTCTAAGAGACAATTAAAATATCTATCTAATTATAGGACTTCCTGAGGTTTTCCTGGTTCTTGGTATAACGAGTCATTTTTTTCATGTATCCCAGACATTTTGACAATTTTGTTGGGAGATTCTATCTCTTAAGTCTTCTTTTTTAGTAGTCACTCTTTTAAGTTTAATGTATAAATTTTAATATACTTACATGAGATTTAATTCTCAGAGTTTAGTTTCTGAACCCTTGCAATGCTAATTTTGTCTGCTTTGTTTTACAGTGCTGCTGGAGCTCCTGCGTAACGCCAACTGGTTCCAACTAAGGGACCTCAGGGCATTCTTTTAGGGTAAGGAAGAAGCCATTGGACTTAAGTCTCTCCTTTTCCTGGGTTAAAGTCAGGGAGACACAGGGCTTTGCTACTGCTGTGGTTTTGTTCAGAGGGGATCACTCTTTAAGCTCTGGTTCAGGATAAGGAATGGATAGCTGGTATGAATAAGAATTTACTACTGCCATTACTGTTAATAAACAGGACCATAAGGAGACCCTTTTTTGGGGGGAGGGGGCGGAGAAGTGCTTGGATCTCCACACTAGGTGTGTTGAATTTCTGTTTTCTCAGGACTTCTGCTAGGATTGAATGTGTTTCTCCTTTTTTATTTTTCTTCTTATTTTCTTCTCTATTGTTTATTCTTGTGTCAAGCTTCTCTACTACCTGGGTATATGAGAAGTAAAAATAAAACCCAGGGAACTCACCACATCATTATTTATGAAGTCCTACACTCTCTAGCTTGTCTTCCTCCTTCCTTTGAGATATTAGAATCCTCTTATTGTTGTCTGTTAAATAAGTTTCAGAATATATAATTACTCTTAAAAAGGAGGTACAAAGAAAAATGGATCTATACTATCTTTTTTCTAAATCCTTAGCTATTAATTTTATAACTATGTT